ACAACGTATCGTGCGCAATGTGTCAAGTTGCCTCCGTGTAGATCGACCCATGCCACTCGCCCACAGGGCAATTTTCCAAAACAAGATTTCTGTAGATCATGTGCCAGAAAGGAAGGAAGAGAAACACGTCCGGAATTAAGTAACTCGCAAAAGATGCAATGACGAGCAGGAAGATGTTCTTGTCTCAATAGTCATGTTCATGGCACGAATGGTTATGAAGCCTTTGTGACATTGTTTACCCAATTTAATTTCTTCTGGCAAGATTTATCCATACGTTTTTACAAAGTGTCACGACTGTATCATCAAGCCAGACCCACTATGTGAACAAAGAACAAAAAGAATCAAATGGTCATTTTATTCTTTTCGCAAAAAAAAAAGAGAGAGACGAAAGCAATCATTTGATTTGCCGCAGGGGCAGCGTTGTGGGTTAGATGAGCATGGATGTGAAGTTGGAATACTGGTAACCAGCCATGTCGGCCTAAAAGGTGTACTGGGCGTCCAGAATTGGGACAAATCGTTAAATTGGGTTAAACTTGACAAGATGTAACAACTTCTAGATGAAATGTGAGAAATTTTAAAGTGGGGGTAAACACTATCACAAATGTATAAATGCGGGGTAAAAGTGAAAATTTTCACTCTATAATTTGACTATGTTGCACATGTTTACACCTAAAGTTACACATATATTCCATCTCTAAATTTGCACATGATAATGTACCTTTTTTTTATGGCAACTTGTCTTACTATTTGTTGTGACCTGTGATTTCAACTACTAGATTACACGTGTTATATGCGCTACCAAAACAATACTAGTAGATAAGTAAACGGAGTTTTGTGCCGTGCAGTTCGACGTGGGTGCAATTCGGCCGTCACAGATTTATTTTAGTTAATATATGCACCTTTTTGGATGAGACGTTGTATGTGCCTTTACATTACATTTGTTGTTAGTCGTAGGCAGATCCATCACCTGGAGATAGCTACATATAGTACTTCTTTTCAGGACAACATAAGCTTTTTCACGATGATACGGGCACCGTCCTCCGTACCCTTGTGCTTTTCTTTTCAAACTTAGTCACGATCATGTGGTTATCCCACTACCCATACTACATAAACCTACCACTAACCTTTACCAAGATTCCAACCGATGATACTTTTGTGGCGTGTTAGTAAGGCTTAATCTGCACCACTTAATCGCAAAAGAACAAGAATAAAGAATAATCTGCACCACTGGTTGAGCTAGCATAGCAGCTTGTCGTGCATCTATGCCCTGTGCATTTTTCGTTCACTATATATAATACGTACACATGCATTAAAAATAGGCAAAAGCGTGCACCATGTTTCTGCTTGACCAAATGGCCAAAAGAAGGTTGGTGAAAACATCCGTTGCTCCCAAGTGCTTCTGACTTCACCGAGAAAAGAGATTGTAAATAATTCTAGTAGTGCACTAGTGCTTATCTCATCGCAGTTGAGTCAGATTAGCATCATCGATCTCATCCCTTGGCACAGTACAAAGAGCTAGACATCAGTGGAAATAAGAAAATCATTAAGGTCTTTATTATCTTTATTAATAACAGCGTGGAATCATCATGTTTTTGCTCGTACAACAAATTTCTCTAGCCACTTCTACATACTCAAAGAGGTCTTCATTCAGACGAGCAATCAGTTACGTGGTGTAGGTCGACATAAAACAACACTAAGCCAAAACCAAAACTCCCAAGAAAGCATATACACTTAGGCGCCGTTCATCATCGGCTTCTTCATCTCCCATGCCGTTAGTTTGGACACCTTGATATCGGTCACCCCGTTGTTGAACACGTGAAGATGCGCGTCTTTCCCGATCGCCATGGATGGGTACACTCTCGATAGGATGCAGGTCCTCCCTCCGGCGCCGAAGCTCTCAACCACCGAACGGTCGATCTGAAAACGGAAATCAACGTTGGTCAACAAAAAATTCAAATACTCATGCGAAAGAAAATGCACTGGTCAAAATGATGTTACAAACGAGCTTTGTACGCACCAAGCTTCTCAAGGAGATCTTCCCGGACGAAATGTCGGTGTCGACAAACCCGGCAAACGTCGGCTTGTATAGACCCGCGGTGAGAGATGACCTGTCGACACAAAAAAAAGAATGGCCCATTGAGTTAGAAACTTAAAATGTTTTACACTTGAAATAGATGGACGGGAGATGAAAGAGAGAGAGAGAGAGATGTGGCGAAATCATACTTGGTGGGGTCACTGCACATGAGGACGAGAGGCTTGCCATGCCCGTCCTTGAATACTCTGAAGAACACGGCGGTCTTCTCGGCCAGGTTGTCGGAGGCCAGGACCCAGAGGCCGAAGGGCCCCACCCCGCCCTTGACGTCGGCGTTCTTCATCCCGCAGAGCTTCTGCGCGTCGTTGGCGTAGGCCGGATCGAACGGCTCCGCCTTGTCCAGGCTCGGCACCTCGAAGCTCACCTCCACGTCAGACTGCCAGAGCAAAATACCTCATCCATTAGTATATGTATATGAGCACCTCGAAGCTTCTTTGGAAATCAAACGAGGAGTGCACGCATTGTTTGCATCGCTCTGGACCAACAGCGTGCGCCCACGGACGCCGTTGACGACTACTTGACGAACGATTTTGCTACGTGATGTAGGTTACAAAAAAGACAATTCAACCGGTGGTGAGGATGATGCGGATGTGTGGATGGAAAAGGGAGGTTGAAAACGAGAGTTGCATCGGCGCCTTGCAAGCAAGCAAGATCTAGCGAGACACGGGCGTGGACAAGATCGATGACTTTGGAGTCCATGGTGATGGTGACAAGGACAAGCCGGAATTGGGCACGCAACAAGGATCGTGGCCCGTCAGACATGGATGGACCAGAAGCTACCTAGACAGCGACACTGGCTGCACTCGCAGGGGCCATGATGGCAGCTGCTTGCTTGTGTTACTTAGCGAGGATTTAGCAATGGTACTAACCTGGTAGGACTGTAGGCCAGTGACCTCAAAGTGCTGGCCGGGCATGACGACCTTGTCACCCACGCTGACAGCCTTGCCCCTCAGCTGGTCCAGCTCCTCCACGGGCCACTGCAGCAGCTGCTTCCCGCTGGGGTCCAGCCATATCTTCCTCGGGATCGCCTGCACATGCAGCACAACCAATCAGTCCATATATGCTCTGGTGTCCTTCCGTCCTATAATATAAGAGCGTTTTTAATATTAGTGTAGTAAAGACGTACGTGGATGCCGGCCCATCCCTTGGCGTTGTCGTGGGCGACGCTGTCGGACTCGTTGGCCCAGCCGAGCAGCACGCGGCGGTTCTTGGCGGGGTCGTAGAAGGTCTTGGACGCGTAGAAGTTGCCGTAGTCGTACTGGAGCCGCTGGTAGACGTCGCCGGTGGGGTTGTCGGGCACGTACCGCTCCGTGCGGTTGTTGTAGGTGCCGACCGTGTAGTAGTCGTAGCGGGTGAGGTCGAGGCTGTTCTTGAGCACGTACTTGTAGTGCGGGCCAAACTCCGACGTGTCGAGGCCGTCCGGGTGGCCCGGCTCGCGCACGGGGAAGAAGTCGGGGCACTCCCACATGCCGGTGAGGGCCGAGTGGAGCGGGTGCTTGGCGCGGACCCAGTGCTTGAAGTCCCGGCTCCGGTACAGGATGGCCATCCCGCGGAGCGTGCCGGGCTTGAGGCCGCCCACGAGCATGCGCCACAGCCCGTCGCCGGCGTGCCAGGCGGTGGTCGGGTCGCGGAACTGGGTGGCGTTCATGCCGGCCTCGGGGATGGCGATGGGGTTGTACCCGGGCTTGACCCACTCGCGGAGGAGCGGGTCGGAGGGGTCCTTGGGGAAGGCGATGTTCTGGATCTGGTAGTTGGTGCCCGGGCGGTCGATGCCGGTGTAGAGCATCGCCACCGTGCCGTTGGGGAGGATGGTGGCGGAGCCGGACCAGACGCCGAACTGGTCGGTGGGGATGGAGGGCTTGATGGCCGGGTCGAGGGCGATCCAGTTGATGAGGTCGCGCGACACCGAGTGCGCCCAGATGATGTTGCCCCACACGGCGCCCTTGGGGTTGTACTGGTAGAAGAGGTGGTACCATCCCTTGTAGTAGAGTGGCCCTGTATGTTCCAAAACCACGTCTCAAACATGTCAGCTAGCTGCTAGCACAAGTTGCATGCTGTCGACAGTATCACAAGGCCATCCTATCCTATACACTGCGGCATGCATGTGCATTTCGAATAGTACTACTAAATTTTCATGTCCTTATATATTTTGTTCTACAAAAATAAAATTTGGTCTTCGATTCTCTGATAATCTAAAAAAAGTGCTGCGCACATGCACAAACTGTTCAAGATCTGGTTGGGTAACAGTAGAAGACAGAGACAAGTAGAAGAAATGGGTCGCAGAAGTCGTACCATTCGGATCTGGAATCCATGAGTTTTGCCGTCCCAGCAATCACGATCAGACACCCAAAGAGACACGGAAAAAACAAGTTAATTAGAACCAAGCACTACAATAAGCTCTAGTAAACAATAGCTATATTAACATATACAAATAGTACTACTCCTACTACATAAATACAGATCAGATGTAATATTATATCCGAACAACGATTCGTGGCATGGTGAGCTGGAGGACTCCATCGTCGTCGTGCTACTGCGAAATCTTTGAACCTCCAGCTCGACTTTTCTCAAGGAACCAGAAGAAGGAAACAGCTGCGGGACTCCCTAACTAACACGGCGAGAGAGAAAGAAAGCCGTCGATTTTGACGCGCCCTCGCCGGCCGGGCTGCAATCTTTTGCTGGTCAAACTAACACTTGGCTACAAACTAACCACAAACTAAACAACTACTCTAGTCTATACTAGTACTCCCTGTCAAAAAACGTCTTACATTATGGGACGGAGTGAGTATGTATTATCTTTCTTGAATTCTCAGACCTGTGTGTTGTCTGTGATGTTGTGTCCGCCCCCATGACGAACAGAACACACGTCTAAAATCAGCATCGGCATTACCGATGGACATATCTCTCTGTCTACGGCCTGACATGTTCTGGCTACACATGTGTGTATTTAAGAACGAGAGCCATATCTAGTTGGAAGGCGGAGCGGAGCATAAACAGGAGAAGAATCAGACAGGTCCAGCAAGAGCAGCGGGTATCTTACCGTTGATCCAGTTCATGGGGGGCTGGAAGTGGTAGCCGGTCCGGAGCAGGGGGCTGAGAATGGAGGCCGGCACGGACGGCGACGCCGCCTCGGCCTCGAGGCTGCGGCGGACGTCATGGGACGCGCCGGCGAGCTGCAGGAGCAGCAGCAGCGCCAATGGCGCAACCACCCATTTCGGAGCCCCCATTGCTTGCTTGCAGTTAAGAGGGTCGAGGGAGGGGGGAGACAGGGATGGATGGATGGCGAGAAGACCAATGGGGCAGTTTATATAATACTCGGGTTAGCGCGTATGACCAATCGGATGAATTTTCTATACGCCGCATGTGATTGGCGTACGCTGCTTAGAATTTTGCAACCGAGCAATCGGCAGCTTCGTTTTCAAATACTGTATGAGAAAAAGTGGCACCACTCCATATGGTCAAGGGTCAAGTTTACAAGGCATAGTTTGGTTGCTACTCTATGCTGAACATTTTTAACTTTGGTCGAGTTTATCGATAAAAATGTCGATATCGACGGCACTAAATAATATCACTAGCAGTTTGTCATAAAATTTATTTCATATTGTTCTTATTTATTTGAAGTTGCAATGCTAATGTCTTTCTCGGTAAAGCTGCGGTTTATTCCCTTCCGAAGTTTTCATGAGTGTACAAAACTTGGCTGTTGATGAAAACAACTGGCGTGCCATATACGGAGCATGAAAATGCAAATGTTAGCAATACTTTTCGGAAAAGTCAGAAATTGGACACTGCACATGTATTGTTTTCTTCAGCACGGGTGTAGATGAGCCTGGGCATCGAATCGCTGTTCTCTCATTTATGCAGCTAATAAGTTATTTTGCCATCTCCACCAACATGTCTTGCAACTAGCCGAAAACTAAAAAGCCAGAAAATTCAACTTGGTCATGAGGCGCCAAGCATGGTCATGTCCTTGTCATGTCAGCACCGAAAAATATCCAAGAGGATGAAGGGGAATTCTACCACAAGGCCAAGAGAAAAGTCTCTGACTCGTAGTAGGTGGTTTCAGTCTTATTTTACTGTGGAAAAATGCAGTAATGCTCAGGAGAATCCTCACAAGAAAGTCCCCCATTGATTTCATCTGAACAAGCATGCTCCGGAGAAGAAACAAAAACGTGTAAATCAGTCCAACCAAGCGTACGTTCAGACCTCGCTTGGCCGGTCAAATTAAATCCAAGCACTTGATGATTTCGTTGACACTTACTTATCGGACAGTGGATGGAAAAGCGGCAAGAAAAAATTAGGTGAAAATTAAAACGGATTTGTAGGGCCGCTAATATAATCTGCCGGCCCGTTGGTCGTAATGAGGCCACGTTTTGCACCACGAGCTTTGCTGTAGTGCGTACGTTCGAAAAAGTAGGTGCTGTAGTGCGTACTATGAAACCGACGAATGGGCTTCAAGTCCTTGTGAACGATGACTGACTTGTGTGTAGTGTCAAAGCCGCTCTTATATTTTAGGAAGCAGGGAGTAGTAGGTATTAAGAAAAACTTGTTTAGTGAAGGTCTGTCTTACACGTGCACAAATCTTCAGTTCACAACCTGACTCGCCTCGAATTTTTACCCATCGCTCGGGCGGGTCATAGTGGGAGTAACTTAACAAATAATATAGCGCATTTCAAGACAAATTTGCTTATGTGGCATGTAGTTGACAAGGAGAGAGGTGTTTAGAGTAATATAAGGCCTTTCCTAGTGCTCCACCATGTACATGGGCAAAAAAATCTGACATGTCAAGTTAATTAAGAGGAGAGGGATGAGACCTCCTTCAATGCATTGATTGGTGAGGTGCTAAGTGCATTAGTTGTCTTTGCAACCAATGTTCCCAATGCATGGGTGCTTAGCTATTGTAGCTAAGCTTGCTTTATTTAATTCTTTATCAACAAAACTCCTTCAGGCATTGGTTGGTAGGCATTTTACATAGATTCACGTGCTTGGAACCGTTTCCTCCTGAGGTCATCATAATGCTCTCTCTCCTCTTTAATTGCTTTGCCACATCATTTTTTTGGGTCTATGTGGCACCCTTAGCACCCTTACACGATGGAGCACTGGGAGGGGTCTAAGTGTGGTGATCCCAGAAGAAAACAATGCCAAGCACGTGAACCTAGCTAGGCAAAACATTTAAATGAAAAAAGCCCACCCACGCATGAAGATCTTTAGTTGCTAAATAATTAAAGGAAGAAAGCTTAGCTACAAGAAGCTAAGCTCGTATGCGAAGTATAGTTGCTAAGCTATTTAATGTGCTTAGCACTTTATCTCGGTTGCGACGGCCCGGACTCGCGAGGTCGTTCGGGGCAGGATCGTTCGGATGTGCCGCTAAACGTCCAAACGGCTGGAAGTTACCACTGTCCTAGGAAAATATATCGACATTCACATTATGAAATCGATATTATTAGATGCATCGCGGAATTAACTTCCATATACCATATGACTTTGGGGTTGAGACGTTGATATTTTTTCGTATAAATTTGATCAAACTTTGTTTAGTTTGACTTTGGGCAAATTTTATATGCGAAGTAAAAGGAAACCGATGGAGTGCTACCATGGGTCATGGATGCATATATTTCCGCTCCAATTGGTACTGCAATTAATGCCAGTGGCGCGTGAGTGCGTGGTACTAATATCCGGTGAGCCGGTGACGGTGAGACGTCCCTGGCCGCGATCGACTTGCTCTCTAGCCTGTTCTTGAAACAGGCTTTCGCCCCTTTTTATAAATAAAAGCACAAACCGATCGACTTGCTCTCTAGCCTGTTGCCGTGGAAATGCCGATTATATACACTAATCTCTGTTTTATGCTACGACGTAGCATAACTGAACTGTTATTATCCGCTCCGGATTTGCAGCTGAAGGCATGCAGTACCAGCGTAAGCTGAAGGCATGCAGTACCAGCGTGTCCGGCAATGTCTTCCTCCATGCATGTCGTCGGCCGGCCGTGCCGTGCGTTGATCCGGCGGCCAAGATGGACCACGGGATCCAGACGCCGCGAGCGACAACTTGCGTTGTTTATTGGAGTATACTCTTGAGCTGGCCGTTGACCCGGCAGCTAAGATGGACTTGTGCTTGGACGTCCCTCGTCGCGATCGCGATCGACCAGCTATAGCATAGTCCGATGCATCTCTGCCGCAGAAAACCCGTTATTGTATAGTAGCATGATGATCTCTGCTCGGTACTGTTATCCGATCCGTATCTCCAGCTCAAGGCAGTAGCGTGCTGGGCATCTCCTTGTTGCTCGGCCTCCAGCGGCCGGCCGTGTGTTGACCCGGCGGCTAAGATCGTCGACGAGATCCAGATGCCGCGGGCGACAACCTGTGTTAACTATTATTGTGACATGAACTTTATTGTGACACGTATACCTTGGTAGTTAGACCTCGTTTTCAAATGGATGGAAAATCAGGGGACGGTGTAGTGTTCATGTCGGCACAGAAAACCCGGAAAAAATGACATTGTCCACGTACTGTTTTCTTCACAGGAAACGCTTGGCATCAACCGACTGATAACACGCGCGACATCAACCGCCTCGAGCTCATGATGCAGTCCATAGGTCCACGGGCGCGTCACCACCTCTACACCGGGGACATGGCGCTGGCAGCCGATCATCGCACATCCACCAAATGCAAGCTTTTGTTGCGGCAAACCCGTCCGTGTGATCCACCGTGCTCACATACATGTCATCCAGGTCAATTCTCCACCAAGTCCCTCTACCAGGCCACTGCTTCTTCCACCGCCCCTCCTCCCCTCACGGTGATTTGGCCCATCTGACTGCCCCTGAAAATCCGGATCTTTATGTGGCAATGGATCCGTGGACGGACCCTGTCTGGGGTGGAGGTCCACAAGAGGAATGGCCCTGGAACTGGCATCTGCCCGCTTTGCGGTGTCCCAAAGACTCGAATCACATCTTCTTCTCTTGTGTGTCCGCTCAGTTTGTATGGAGCTGCTTTAGAGAAGTGGTAGGTGGCAACTGGTGCCACACCAACTTCCCCGACCTATTCGCCGAACTCCAGGCCTCTGCCTTCTTGCCACATTAGGTGGCTTGAGATTGGGGCCCTCGCGTGGACCCTCTCGACGATCCGCAATAGACTTGTGATCCAGCGCATTCCTCTCCGACGGGCTACTGACGCTCTCTTCAAACTGCGTGGCTACTTGCAGCTCTGGCGGCCGCTTAGCCACCCTCAGGACCGGGACGTCATCTCTGCCTTCATCGCCGACCTCCACTCGATGGCCGTCCGCCTGTTGCCTCCGCTTCCCCCGCCACCGCCGGATCCTGATTAGACTTTGGACATGTCTCCGGGTCGTCCTGTTTTCTTTTTGTTAAGGGCTTGTTGAGCTGTGCCCTCCGCAAAACCTGTGTACCTCTTCCTGTGCGACTTGTGTGTGTGTGTGTGTGCGCGCGCGCGCTGAACTATTCCTTGTATGTGTTGCTCTTGGCGGTTTGCTTTATTTATAAAGCGGGGCGAAAGCCTTCTTCGGTACATGTCACCCGAGCCAATTCGCCACCAAGTCCCTCTACCAGGCCATTGCTCCTTCCACCGCCCCTCCTCCCCTCACGGCGATTTGGTCCATATGCCTGCCCCTGAAGATCCTGATCTTCATGTGGCATTGGATCCGTGGACGGACCCCGTCTGGGGTGGAGGTTCGCAAGAGGAATGGCCCTGGAACTGGCATCTGCCCGCTTTGTGATGTCCCCGAAGACTCGAATCACATCTTCTTCTCTTGTGTGTCCGCTCAGTTTGTATGGAGCTGCTTTAGAGAAGTGGTAGGTGGCAACTGGTGCCACACCAACTTCCCCGACCTATTTGCCGAACTCCGGGCCTCTCCTCTGCCTTCTCGCCACATTAGGTGGCTTGAGATTGGGGCCCTCGCGTGGACCCTCTGGACGATCCACAATAGACTTGTGATCCAGCGCATTCCTCTCCGACGGGCTACTGACGCTCTCTTCAAACTGTCTGGCTACTTGCACCTCTCGCGGCCGCTTAGCCGCCCTCAGGACCGGGACGTCATCTCTGCCTTCATCGCCGACCTCCGTTCGATGGCCGTCCGCCTGTCGCCTCCGCTTCCCCCGCCACCGCCGAACCCTGATTAGACTTTGGACGTGTCTTCGGGCCGTCCTGTCTTCTTTTTGTGAAGTGCTTGTTGAGCTGTGCCCTCAGCAGAACCTGTGTACCTCTTCCTATGAGACTTG